TGGTATTTTGAAAAGGGTAGATGTCAGGCTGAGTGAGGTATTGATTAGCAGCACAGAGGGCCAGGTAAGAGCAGGGACTAAAAGCAGTGTAGTCCTGCCCTGAGGTAAAAAAAGGGGCAGATTGAGAAATGTGTGGGCTGAGAGCACAGCGGTTGAGAGGAGCCTGGTGAAATGATGAGACGGACTCAAGAAGGGGAGTTGAACACAGCTGCCGGGTGAAGGAAAGAGGCCCTCAGAGAGACGGGAGTAAGGGGGAGCAGAAGCACAGGAGAGTTCTGTAGGGGGACGCCTTTGTCTTTGCATCCTTTGAAATAGACCGCAAGGCAGTTGAACAGAGAGTCTTTGGGAGGCAGAAGATCGGGGAAGGGTGCGGTAGTGACAGGTGGTCTCAGTTTGTTACCAAATCCAACTAGTCAGTCCCTCAGTATGCTCAATATTCCAGCAGTAGGTGCAATCTGCTTCTAGTTAGTGTCTCTGAGAAGGTGACTCAGGAGAGCAAATTAAAGCCAGTGTATCTTCTTCAAGTAAAATAGCTAAAGTAGAAATGATTATACTTGTTACAGAATTTACTAGGAAAAATTTGGCTAGATCTTGTGGTTAGCAACCCCTGATAACACAGAAGTTTTCCTGAGATTTGACTTAAATCTTCTGTGAATTTTTGGGTTTACTTTCTCTCCTAATTTGAGTGAATCTCTCATTTGTTACATATTTAGACAGAATAGCTGTCTAGTTTCTTTACAGGACTTCCTGGACACATAGACACAAGTAGACACATACAAAATGCGCTTTCCTACTTTCCCTTCTTATTTTATGGTACATTAAAAAGAAAACAGAAGGTAGGCCTGTAGAGGGCAAAAACAGGAATAATATAATGCAGTCAATAACTCTAGTCCATCACTGTGGAATCTTGTTAGTTTTGTCTGTAAGATTCCTCTTTGGCTATTGCAGAGCCACACGTATCTGCTTTGCAGGTATTGTAAGTGAAATGGCTTACCTTAGCTTTAACTTTTTAAATTGCTCTTGCCTCATCACTTCCAAGGAAAGTAATAGTGTACAGTAAGAGCTCAGGCTTTGAATCAAAACTTCCTGTTTCAAACAGTCATGGTGGCACACATCTGTAATCCCAGCACTCAGGAGCCTGAGGCAGGAGGATCACTGAGTTCCATGCAAGCCTGAACTTCATTATGAGACCCTATCTGAAAAAAAAGAGAGAGAGGAAAAAGTCAACTTCCTGGTTTGATCCCAGCCCTGACATTTGTTGACTTTTCCCCTGTGCCTCAGTTTTGCTGTTTATATATTGTAGATAATCATAGTGCCTGTCCTAAAAGTCAGAAGTTGAGTTTAATTGACTTATAATCATGTTATTTGTAAAGTGCTAGCTAAGATCAAAGGGCAAAATTAATACCAGTTTGCATATTTATAGTTTCATAAACTAAAGCACAGTATTCAAGCTCTGGATTCTTTAGAGCCCTCTATTTTTGCTTTATGCATGTTTTCTTAGGTAGCTAAGTTAAGAAAGATTACCTTTTCTGTTTGTCAAAATCCTTATGATCTCATTTGAGATCATATGGTACATATCACAGGACTTCACTTTGGGTCTTAATTTCATATGCCAATTTCCAACTTGCTTTTCACCATTTATGTTTAGAATCAATTATGTATCTTTTCTTGAGTACAACCAGTTTCTTGAAAAATTTAGATTTTTTTTCTGTTGAAGTTTTTAATATAATTGTAATAATTCAAAGTTATCCTATTTGCATGTCTCAAGATATGACTACTTAGGGTAAATTGGAGATTATCTGGAATACTTAGTGTCCTCTGATACAGCATGTAGAGACCTAAATCTTTCAAGGTTCATTTTTATAACACACTTACATATAGTTAACCCTTTATTTTTGTTTTTGTTTCTTAAGCTGTTTGTGCTGCTTAAAAAAATGCTTAATTTTCAACTTACCAGAGGACCCACACTGGAACAGTTTAAATAGACATTTTACAAAATATTGGAACTTCAAATCAAACCTTAGTAAAACTTCGTTATTCTTTCTGTTGTATGTTAGCTATTGTTGGTCTTCAGTTTGAGGAGTATATTTATTCCATATAGAAAACATAACTTTAGGATATTTCAAATAGGACCTTTTGGTTTTGCAGCTGCACTATTAGAGGCCTGATACCACCCTGCATTGCTTAAGAAAGACAAAATAGAGAGTTTAGTTGTGTGTTGTGGAGGGTTTGTACCTACAAACCTGTCCAGTTTCCATTACTATTTTAAAAATGAGGCAAAATTGTCTTTCTTATCTTAGGAAATTAAAGTTCATTAGGTATATACGTATGAGCAAGGGAGGGAGAGGTAGGGAGGAAATTTTCCATTTCTACCTCCTTTAACCTTGACAAGCTTCTGAGGGTTGGGGTTGGCTCTTGGCAAGCTGTCTGACCTTGGAATACAGAAATCTCTTGGGTTGCCCTTTGCTCCTTGGTGCTCCACGAGTAGGGCACAGGGTTGTTGTTGATAGTGTGTGCTATTTTAATTTCTTGCAAAGAGCTTTTGGGTGTCTTTGCTGTATTCCTTGAGTTTGTTAACCTGATCACTTTTTTTTTTTTTTTTTTTTTTAAATGCCCATAATGCGGATGGCTGCCTGATAGCATCCTGGGAGGTTGATTTAATTTTAACTGGGAACTCCTTTGCAGAAAATGCCCATAGAGATCACTGTTCAACAGAGAACCCCTGAGAGTGTCTCCATTTTGATGTTTAGTAGGCATTTGCAGTGGGCTTTCTCTGCTGTGTTGTTCTAGGACTTTTGAGTGTTTCAAGTCATGGTCATTTGCACTTAGCCATAAGTCCACCCGCAGTCCCTGTTGGTTGTCAGCGAGATGCCACTGTTGAGACTGTGAGTGCCTCCATAATATCTCTCTCTTATTTGCTAGGCAGAAGATGGTGTTAGTGATTGCAAGCTGCTGGCTGCACCCTGCAGAGCAGGAGTGAGTGAGTGCTGTTCAGCTCTCCGGCCCTGTGAGTCTGATGCCTTTCCTCCATGTTTCGGCATCACTGCCAAACACACGCATTGAAAATCCTTCGTGATCATCAGTTTGTCAGATGATTATACTGTTATAAAGAGTCTGTCCAGGTCCTTTGTATTTTTTTTCTTTTTTGTCACCTTAGTGTATGTCCATTGTGATGGGGGCAAAGGCATTGATGATGAATGATGGAAGAAGGCACAGTATCATGTATCAAAGCCAGACTAGAGGTGCGAGGGTTAGTGAATCATTAAAAACTCTGCAAGGAAAAACTTTTAGAGCGCCAGTGTTGTCAACCAGTGCTGCATGAGCTTTTGTGCGACAAATGGATCTTGGCCTGGTCCTGTGGTGCTGCGTGTGTTTCTCAACAACTTGCGCATATTTCTTGTGGGTTGCTTCATGGTTGGTGTGCTGTTGCCGTCTGCCACACCTGTGTTCCGGGCTCAGGATGTTTTCCATTGGCTTGCACAGCGCATTGCTGAGGAATAAGCACTTGACATGCAACAAACCAATGAGGCTTGGTTGGCAAAAGGCAGGTAATTTCTGGATTACCTCTTGTGCTGTCCTCTTCTCCTTCAGGAAGGAGTGCCGCAGCCATAGCAGGACCATCTCATGGCTCAGGGACAGGAGAGAGTACTGTGGGAAGAAACCCCACTTCTTTGCATAGAACTGGGTGATTGGGATACTCTCACCAATGTCAGATTCACATTTTAGTGGCCTCAAACTGAGAAGGGCATCATGGTGCCATTTGACCTGGTCTGTTCGTGAATAGACATTATATTTTATGACTTCAGTTCAAAAGACAGACCTTTTGAGCATCTTCCTTAAGCAACAAGTTTCTGTATCTTCATCTCCTTTGTTTGCTCTTGTGAGGTGAGGCCCTTACTTTTGCTGTGTTAATTCCTTCACTTTTAAAATTAGTGTCATGGGAAGAACCTTACTGTGTACTAAAGAGCAGTTCACTGGTAGAGTCAGAAGGTCTGTGTGGCTGTGTATGTGACTGACAAGGGTTATATCACAGCATCATCCATTTGGTGACTATTTAAGTCCACTCCAATGGGAAATAGAGTATGTTTAGAGTATTTTTTCAAATTTGCACTATTTAATATACTGTGTGGAGGCTAGCTTTAGCTATGTAATGTCACCACCTGTCGTCTCAGGCCTTCTGTACATTTCCACAGAAATCAACTAGTTATAGACTCAGAATGGAAACTTGACAAAAAATAAGAAATTAGAATTTTTTGATTACAAACATAGTAGAATGAAGTTAGTTTACATCTATATGTTACTTCTTCTGGTTTCCTTATGAGTGTCTTTCTCTTGATTACTAGTTAGGGATGTTCTTCTAGGAGAGTCACATCTAAGAAACCCAAGGTAAGGATTGTGTAGATAGATACCCTGCTTTGTCTGGAGTAAATGAATGACCACATCCTCTGACAGGGAGAGAATCTTAAGGGTCCCAACATTTATTATGAGCCAACTTTAATTACAGTGTACTTAGAGATAAGAAAAATATTTACCCTGTGAAGTAAAAATGGGGAAAAAAAGCCCCAGTATTTAATAAGGAAACATAATTCCCAAGTGTGGAAATCAAATCTTTAAACTCCGTTTAGTTAAATTATGGATTTTAGGATAATCAGTTATAATACTGATAATTTTTAATATAATGACAAGTTATGGAGTTACAGATTTTTGTTTAGCCTATTAAATGACTTAGGTGCTGCCACTACGTAGTTGATTTTCATCAGTGCAATCATTCGACTAGCATGAATCCTCCTTACAATACATTTGTGCAACACTGAGATGATCCAGGCTTCCATTGTGTTTGACTATCTCCTTCCCTCTGCCTTAGTCTCCCTTTAGAATTTTATGGTGTATCATAAATGAGCTGTTGACTAATTTCTTGGTGAAGTGAAACACAAATTTGGATCACGGGAATTTATTATTTGAAAGCATCTGGCTTATGCTTGTTTTTGTTTGTTAAACAGGAAAAGGACCAGCGCAGCCTAGACATAAACACTGCCAAGTGCATGTTGGGACTGTTATTAGGAAAAATCTGGCCCCTTTTTCCAGTTTTTCATCAATTCTTAGAGGTACCAAATGTTTTATGAAATGTATATATGCTTGCTTAGAACTACCAAATATACTTTATTTAACTGTTTTATGTATTTTTTTGTTTGTTGTACTTTTCTACTCATAGGAACTCTGGTACCATAATTGGTGTCAGTCAGCAACTACTTGTGATCGTGAAGTGTGTCTGTGTGTGCATGTTACATTGTATGTGCCATCCCACGTTACAGTGCCTTAGAACAGCTGCAGCCCTCCCTGTCCCCTCGTGGCCCAATTTTAAAAGCCTCACTACTGTTTTAATTTTCTGTTCCGTGTAACGATAGAAAAAATAAAGTTTACTTTCTTTATGATTTTAGGTGAATCTCTTAAGTTTTATTAAGCAGTTTAATAATAACTGTCTGCCTTAGTAAAATTAGTTTGTAATCTATTCTTATCTACTCTTATCTCCAAGTAACTTGAGGAATTTAGAGCAATGTAAGTACTATATTAAACAAACTGAATATTTTCTTCAGGTCCATGTTAGAAACAACTCAGCTCTTTATTCCATCAGGGTCTGCATTATATATTGATGATCAAAAGTTTCAAATTGCTGATTATAAGGGTTGGTTTGATAGGACCTGGAAGTGTCGTATATGGCATCCTCCTTGCCCTTCTGCCCCAAGCCCTGTTTAAAAATACCCTTTGCTTATAGAAATGAGGATGTTGGGTCTTTGAGAAAATCCTAGGCCTGCCAGTAACTCTTCACTTTCTTTTTTGAAGTAATCTTTCTTAAAATTTATTTTATGTAGGGCTGGGGATTTTGCTCAGCAGCATAAGCTCCTGCCTTGCAAGTGTGTGGTCGTGAGTTTGATCCCCGGTACCAATTAAAAAAAAAAAAAAAAAAAAAAGACAAAAAAAAAAAATTTTATTTTCTGTAATGGTTCAGAAAAACTAAACTGTTAAAATTCTTAGAGGGCTGTTATTCAGAACTGCTTTTAATATTACTAACTAGAACGCCTCAAGAAAGTTACAAAAATTAGTTTTAATAGTAGAAGTGTTTATGTAATGGTCCATTCTTCATACGATCTGTTTTAGCTACTCTTGACAACCCTGTGAGATAAGCCAGCAGTGTTGTGAGACAAAAGCAGACAGAAGTCCCTGCTCTCAGAGGGTTCCGCAGAGTTGAGCCTTAGTGTGAAGGCCTTCAGCTGAACAACCTGACTCTGAGCAGATGTGACCGCACAGCTCCAGGAGTATCATTGGCAGTTTTAAGACTAGTTTTTGCTTTTAGTAGCTTAGAAAGTTAAGCTTGAAGCGTGTGATTTGTTCTTATATTAGTTTACATTTTTATTATAAAAAGAGACAGTAATCTCTTAGTTTAGAACTTGTGGTGTTTGCAACCTCAAAACCATTGACCTCTCTTCGTTGTTTATATATTTGTATTATTTTTACTATGTTCCTGAGTTGATGTGATGGGGATTTAAACTACTTCTGGATTTTATTTTTAAATATTTATATAGGATATTTTAAAATACAACGTATTCCTTGTCCAAGGCATAGAGAAACTACTTTATGGCTATTCTAGTTTCTTTCACGGTCCCATTCCGGTTTTGAGTTGTTAAACAAGTCATTTTTTTCAATGGTAAGAGCACCTAGCTTCAAGGCTACTTGTAGCGCTTACATTGGTCTCAGAGCGGTGGCGACCCTGGGCAGCCGTGCTGCACTGGGCTGTCTGTAGGGTGAAAGCTCAGAAGGTTCGCGTCAGTGTCAGAGTGCCCACTGCCACTCCGCTTCCAGCTAGTAACTTGGCTGTGGTCAGTGCTGATCATGTCAGCAGTACTGACGCGGAGATGCTCTTTATTTAGTATTTAGTTTGTGCCAACTACTTAATGAAATGCTTTACATAAGTGACATGTTATCTCTCTAGGAAGTAGGAAATATCTCCATTTAATATAAAAGGGCTACAGCAGTTTCACTTGTGGGGATAGTTCTTATTTTTTTTTTAATGTGTATGCTATCTTGGATTGGGGTCCCCCTGCAATAATATTTTTGTAATGAAAACTATCATGAAATTCTGTTCTTGCTCTTCCTCACCATCCTCCTAGATTGATACTGAAATGTAAAGGGTTAAGCCCTCCTCCATTAACTTTTATTTAAAGTTGGTTCGTTCAAGAAGCCATCCCATTTGTTCATTTTGTATCAATAATTCATATTACTTTCCCCTCTATCAGCAATCAAAATATAAAGTGATTAACAAAGACCAGTGGTGCAATGTGCTTGAGTTCAGCAGAACCATTCATCTTGACCTCAGCAACTACGACGAAGACGGAGCATGTGAGTACCGCATGTGCCCGGGTCCTCTCTCCACCCCGTGCTCGCACAGTCACTTGTTCCCTGGAAAAAGCCCGAGAGCAACCTTGTTGTTGTTTTTTTTTTTCCCTCTCTCTCTCCAGGGCCAGTCTTGTTGGATGAGTTTGTGGAGTGGTACAAAGATAAGCAGATGTCCTAGGAAGGACTATGTGCATAGCAGCGCGAGAGTCACTGTTACCACAGTTATGTCACCCATTAGCCATAAATTGCTGTTTGTATCAAAGCGCATGCTGCTTCTCTTGCACTGTCTCCCTTTGCAGGGATGTTTTGGTGTTTGCTGTTGAATGGGCCAGCTCTGCTTGCTGTGTAGCATTGTTCTCTTGGAAGGCTGCTTTCCAGTTTGTATTTACACTACAGATTGGTGAATTTGCCAACGTCCTCACTGTGATTATGTGTATATTGCTGTTTAAATTTTGTATATGTGTATAAAAAGCTTCACCTAGAGATTATTTCTGCAAAAATGTATTGTAAAAATAATTTTGTGGCATATTTCTAGTCCCTTTTTTCAAATGAACCAGTTATATTTTGTTTGGTCTCAAATGTAGCATTTCAGAAAACAAGACGAAACAACCATTACTGTGAGCAAGTGTTGCCAGAACTAACCTTACTGTTTAAAAGAGGCCAATTTCTGGAAAAGGAGGCAGGAGTAATAACAGTGGCTCATGCCAGATATCATTTGTTTTACTTGATGATATTAGCATTCTAAAATGATGAAAGTTGTAATTGACTGTGTAACATGCCGCAAATGAGTTTTACCGTGCAAGATACAATTTTTTTTGTTTTGTTTTGTTTTTTAATGTTGAAAATAGTAGCTTGAATGTAGGTACAAATGAACAAATTGAAAGTGCACCTTTTTTTAAGAATTCGAGTTTAAATTCTCATAAACTTTCTTTAATGTTTTTCCCTTGTTTGCCCTTTTGAATTCCTCCATCCAGTGGTCTGCTGATACTCTCTATGCCACTCTGACTAAAGTTGATTTTGCCGCTTCCATGAAAACATACTGGCTTCCTGGCAACTTATAACCTCAGAGCACTGTTAGTTGTGGCTTGAATATTTTAGTTAAATTTCACAGTATCTAATTTTGAGTTTTTTAAAAAAGAAATTATGAGTGAGAGGTGTTTTGTTTTGTTTTTCTTGTTTATTTCATGCTAGGCTTTTCCTGGCAACGTGTTCATTGCAGGCAGTGGACACGAAACCACCAGCAATTAGCTAAACCTTATCACACTCTAGGACCTTTCCTGGAGGGGCCACTTGTCATTACCTGAATCATTTGTACAGAAGAATGATAGTCATTATTTATGTGTATGAGGAAACAATGGTATGTTTAGATTTTTATTTTATGGTTTCTTGTTTTGTTCTGTTTTTTGCCTTGAGAAAATGTGTAGATTACATGTTTCCACCCCACCTATCTGGTGCTATTGAATGACTAACCTGGTCCCTAACGTTTTGCGAACATACATCCAAAGGTCTAATGATTAACCAAGTACAGAGCTAAGGTGCATTTGAGCAAGTAGTTGCTGTGGTTGTGGGCAGTATCCATGCTTGAGCATGCAGTGATTCGGATTATTGGCCAAAACGTTTTAAAATTAAATGTGAACCTTTAAATGATGTTTAATGAGTAAAGCACACAGACAATGCTACTCTTGACCATTGTTTTACAGTTTCTTTGCAAATGGTGTTCTGATTTTCGTATTATTTTTTTCCCTAACTGAACCACCAAAGACAAAAATTTTGTGTATATAGTGTGCGTGCATATTCAAAATCATGATAGGTAGAATGCAGCTATTTCGTTTTTCCTCTAAACAATAAGGTTTGGTTTGCTGTGAAATAAAACAAGTTTTTAAAACAATAGCGAATAAACATACTTAGCCATTCCTTGTTTTTAGTCTCACTTTTAACCTTACAGATTTATATCCGTTTCCAAAAATTAATATCTGGAAAGACAAGGAAATATCAGTAGTATAAAACAGCGATCGAGACTGCTCACTGAAGGGCAGTCCGATTCACGTTTGCTATTGCAGTGCGGATTGGCCATTGTCAGGTTTGGATCTGTGGAGAACTGAAGTATTTTCAGATGTGCCCCAGTGAAATGTTTAAATATCACACCTTTAAAGGCAGCAGGCCTTAAATTTGATCAACCTCTGTTTTGCAGAAAGCAAATATAAATCATAGATAAAATTGTTTTTCAGTGTTAGAATCTGGAGAATTTTTTTAAACACTAAGCACAGGTAATCTTAAAATAAAAAGATTGTAACAAGAGAGACATGGTACATTTCATCCAGAGTGAACATTTTGATAAGAGAAAACTCAAGTAAAAACAATTCTATGATTGATACATGGTATGAAAGTAAGCATTCCAGTGGGGTAATGGTGTACATTGAGAAAACAGTCTCTGAACTACCTTGACAAATAAGCCTCTGTGACTGCTGCCTGCAGAGTGCTTGCCCCTGGTTTTCTTTACTTTATATATTTTTAAGGGAGAGTCATAACTTTTTCTTAAAAATTTGCCTAAGTTACACAGTGCTGAACAATTCATCAAGCACTTACTTGTGGGCTAATGTCTAATAAATTTGGGTGCCTTCTTCTGGGTTTTCTTTAGTACCCAAACTTACATCCTTTCTGTCTTGCCTTGTGTTTTGAAGTCCACTTTGCAATGCTCTGTTTTAGGGAATACAGGTTTTCAGGTCAGAATTTTGTTGTTCAATTTGCCATACACACCCACTGTCATGTTACATGCCCTTTTTATGAAGCATGAACTTTGAGTTAAGTTTTTATAACTCTAACTAAACAGACCTCTGGATTCTGGTTTAACAACAGATTTCTGTTGCCTCTTTGGTCCCCATGCTGACAGTGCTTTTGAAATTTATACAGAAGGCTTTAAAAGTTAGTTTATGCCCTCAGTTTTTATTCTTACAACTGCTAAGATACCTCTGTAAGCCTTATCCTTTATTCTTTCATAAGTTGTATAATAAATGTATAGAACTCACTGACCAACTAAAATGTTGGGTATCTGTAAATGAGACCAAAATGTGGGTTGCTTTTTTCATAAAGTAATTTCTATTGGGGGTTACTGTTAAATGAACAGCAGCTAACCTATAACTGTGAATGCTTCGTGTCGTCAGTATTTGCATTACATTCATAAAAGTGTGCAAGTCCTGTGACTCCCAGCTTAACTAAAATACTGTTATGCCACCCAACTTGAGTACAGCATACTGGTTTTAGGTTTTAATGGAATTGGTGTAAAATGATATCCCATAAATAAAAAAGTATTTGTGTTTGATTTCTGAACTGATTTGTGAATTTTTTCTTTTTCTTCAGAAACCATTTAGGATAGTTTTAAAGTTTTGGTTTTCATCCTTTTCTATTTTTCTCAATTTCTGCTGAAAATTTTCAAAGCTACAGAACAAAAAGCAAGAATAATATAATGAACAACTGTGTACCGTCACTTGGGCAAACATTTCTTGCCCCACAGTGAGGGGGAGAGAGACATAGACACAGAGATTGATCCTCTGTTTAAAAAAAAAAAAAATTACCTGAATCATGACTTGTAAATTACATGTCACAGTCTGACTTTGAAAGTAAGACATTTTTCCTGTAACTGTGATGCAGTGATCCCACTCAAGAAATATCCCTATTTATACCAATGATGGTCTTTATTACTGTTTTATTTTATGTCTGGGGATAATTGTCAGGCTTCTTTAATCTGTAATTCAGATCACCTCCAAAACAGTTTTAAATGTCATTAAAGATAGTATAAGCATTCAGTCAAATACTGATTTTTAAAAAAATACACCACTGTGTGTTATGTATTTCTAAACATTAATTTAATAACCAGATACTTCCTGTGGGCCAGCAGCCAAGCAGAAGTGTCTATTTCCACTTCACCCAACACTATCACTCAGTTTACCTGTGTCAGCCTGGTGTCTTACCCTAGAAGTTAAGCTTCCTGTGGGAGGGTCTCTCACAGGGTGGAAAGCGTGTGTGGAAGGGAGTAAGTAACAGAGTTCCAGTTTGGGCACAGAATTTTTAGCACCTAAAGGAATCCAGGTAGAACTGGATGTAAAGGTGAAAAACACTCAGTAAGAAGTGACAAGAATTTCATGATTGTTAATCACTTAAACATGAGAGAGGACTTAGAAACTAGGGTTACTAAAATGGCAGCTCTGCAGTCTTAATTAAGTACTGTTTAAATTGGTGATACAAATGGTTCTTTCAGTTGAAATTTGGGTCAGTAGCTGACAATCAAACCAAGAAAATCTTCAGTCTTCCAGACACCCAGACGGAGGATGATGAGTGAAAACAAAGGAAAAAGTGAGTACCAAATAGATTGAAAGGGGAGGTAATCCGCCTTAGGATAGGGCCTTCGCAATCTGGAGTGTAGCCTACAGCCGAAGAGCATGAGTTACACTGAGTAAAAATACAAGAACCCAACCAGCAGTGGAAATGGCCATACTCCCACAATTGTTACGTATACTTAGTGCAGTCCTGATCAACGTACCATCAGCATACCTCACAGATCTGGAGAAAACATTCCTAGAATTCATTTGGAACTGGAAGAAACCTAGAATAGCAAGGCAGTCCTGGGCAACAAAGGCAAGGCAGGAGGCACTACAATCCCTGACTTGAAATTCTACTACAAAGCTATAGTGATAAAATCAGCATGATACTGGGCAAAAAAAGAGACCTGAGGACCAGTGGAACAGATTAGAAGATGCGGACACAACTACAAACAGTTATCTTTCATAAAGGGGCCAAGCAGGTTCACTGGAAGAAGGATAGCCCCTTTAATAAATGGTGCTGGAAAAACTGGCTTTCTCCCTGCCAACAACTAAAACTAGATCCATGTCTATCACCATGCACTAAAGTCAAAATAGATCAAAGGTCTAAATGTTAGAAACACTAAATCTACTAGAAGAGAAAGTAGGTAGAAATCTTGAAGACATAGGTGTAGGTAGAAAGTTCATACACAAAACCCAGACTGTAGGGGAAATATTTCAAAAAATCAACAACTAGGATCTTGTCTTATTAAAAAGCTTTTGCTCCTCAAAAGAAATCACCAACAGACTGAAAAGACAACCCAGAGAGTGAAAAAGTTTTAGCAATTCTCTCAACAAAGGACTTCTATGTAGAACATAAATTGAAAAAAATCAGACCCCCCAAATTCAAAGATCTGATCAAAAAGTGGGTATCTGGATGGATACACATTTCTCAGATGAAATCAAATGGCAAATATGTGACCAAGTATTTGGGTCAGGGATATAGTTCAGTGGCACACTACCTGCATGGCAAGCCCAAGGTCCTGAGTTGAATTTGGTGCCCCAAAAATAAAAAATGTTCAACACTGGAAGGAATTATTCAAAAGAAAAAAGGAACTAGGATGGGTGAAAGGAAAAAAGGTGGGAAAAAAATCTAAGAGTTACACTGTTACTGTCTCTTAGTTCATTAAAAAGGGTTTGTGCTAATGATAGACAAATTTTTATGCCTATATCTTGTTCCCTGAACAACTACTTTAAGCTTAATAACGCGTAATACATAAACTGTTCTATTTTGTTAGGAAATTTTGTTTTACCTTTTTTCCATTAAAAGAAAAGGCAGAAATCCAAGATGCATTCTACTGAACAGTATTAGTAGTCTACTAGAAATTAGCAGGAAGTTGAAAGTTTTCCGGGAATGTAATTGGCACAAGACAGGTTGGTAGCGTGGGGACAGTGTCTGCTGAAGGCAAAGCCAGCCGGGCACATTGCGGTCACACTGTGAAGGGGAAGTGTCACAGGAAGATCACTATAAAGGACATGGCATGGATGCAGCTTGGCAGCACAGGCATGGCTTGGCAAGTGCAAGGTCTGGAATCGATTCCAAAAAAAGACATTTTAGGGCTGGCGATTTAGCTCGGTGGCATATATGCCTGCCTGGCAAGCATGTGGTTCTGAATTCAACCCCGGTACCAAAAAAAAGGACATTTTTAGGCTGTTTGACACAGAATAGAGAGGAAAGTAAAAATATGCATAGAAAAGAAAATGTAAGACCCCTGAGTCAACCCCTAGTCTTCAGAGGAAAGGAAGCAAATTGAGATTTCTTGATACACCTACATGAAGACATACTTTCTGTGAGTGTTGTGACTTGTGTCACATTAAACTCAGTTGGAGTAGTGCTTTCAAATCCATGTATGAAGAGTGGCTTATGTAGAGGTTAGAGAAAACCTTTAAGATTAAAAAAAAAAAATCGTTGTGATTTTGTTTTACAGCACCCCCCCCCCAAAAAAAAAAAAAAACCCAAAACTCATTAGGAATAACAAACCACACTCTCTGGTCTTACTCTTTTTCAAAGCTTATAAACAGAAGATGATCCTGTATAGAGCATGCATACTACTTCTGGTGTATTTTCAGCAGAAAAATTTTGCCTTTTCCCTTGCCTGAATTTGTTCTTAACATTTATTTCCATTGCCTTAACAAAAAATAAAATTATTCCATGTATAGAAGTATTTGTTTAGAAATGATGGTGATTAAGCAGGCTATGCCAAGAATTCAAAACTGAAAAAACAAAAAGTTGTCAAAGCAATTAAATGAAATTTCTAAAAAACATTTAGAATGTAAATCTTCGGAAGAAATGTGTTTAGTGCTTTGAAAGAAATTCCTCTGCAATCACTGTAAAGAAAATGGACTGAAGAAGACCGAGAAAGTAACTTAAGGAGTGGTGGGTTTTTGTTTCTTCCTTTGACATTTTCTAGGAGTGACAGCTCAAAATTGCCTCAATTTGAATATCTAAAATTACCAACTGGTGTTCTCTAGAAATCTTGGGATAAATGCATGAAGATAAAGAGAAGTGCAGCTGTCCTTCCAGTGGACTAAATCACTAAAAAGCTTGTGGCCAACTGTTGGTAGCATAAATGAATTACTTCCACATTTTCCTTGTCTGCTCTTGGGTACTGGTTTTGCTTCATTATGTTTCTATTCCATCTTGAGGATAGGGGTTGGATGGAGTGTAATTTCATTACAGGTAATCCCAGAATCATTGATATAGTAATAGATGTCTGTTAGAAACTTACTCTGTATGTCTCAAAGTGCTTCTAAGTCTTATTTTTAAAAGTCCTTATTCCTCCCACATCAGGCTTTTCAGTATAATCATATCAACACTTTTAGTTGGGTGCTAAGGCAGAATTTGTGTGTGAAGTTGTTAATTAAAGTAATAACTGTACAGAGGGGACTGGGAGATAGAAAATCAGTAGATGGAAGAATTAGCCTGTGGAGTCCAGTCTTAGATTCCCTTACTCTGTTGGAGCTGAGAGTTCTTCTGAGGCACAGGGCATTACAAAGCTAAGTCGGTACTCATTGTAAAGCCTTCTCTTGTGGTCCTGCACACTAATGGATCTTGTTTTTAGAGTTGTGCTTCAGAGCCTGGATGTCAGCAAGCTGTAATGAGTTTAGTGATTTAATTGAAGGCCAGTTGGTGGGTTATGAATGTTTGACTTCTTTTAGGTGAGAAGGTGGTCAGCCTGGCAAAGGGCTTTACACTGACCTCACTTGCTCACTCAACATTTAGGAAGAATATATGGAGCAAAATGATGTTTAGACAGCATACTATTGTGTGTGTGTGTGTGTGTGTGTGTGTGTGTGTGTGCACGCTGGCATTTGTGTTCAAGGCCAGTCTTCGGGGCTGAGCACTCCGCCTGTGGAATCTGATGCTGTCTCCGCGTACTGTCAGGGCTGAAGTAAATTACAGAACACCCAGACGTTGTCCTGTGCTGCAGATGTATTTGCTTGCTTCCTGGTGGGGAAGAAAAACCTGCACATCTGTAGAGAAATTGACTTTTTGGTTTGTTTTTCCATAACTTCGTTTAACTTCCATAAGTTTAGCTGGAATTAAGCCTAGATTTGTCTCCGGCCCAGGAGTTTTAGTGGGAAGGCCACGAAGCATCACAGAAGTCAGGAGTTGCGCAGGTTGAAGTGTGCAAGCTCTGGGCTGCGTGGCTTATGTGAGGCTCTCCTGATGCCTTTTGCCGCACATTCTTCCCTTCTTAAGCCCTGGCACCCACTGATGTGTTTCCTCACTTTTTTCTCTTTGAACCTTCTCCAGAATGCTATACAAATGGAGTCCTACTACATGGAGCCTTTTAGTTTTATTTCATCCGCTCATTCTTTCGAGATTCAGCCACTCGACCTTGTCGGTATCTTTTTGTTGCTGGGCAGGTGTTGGATATGGTGATGGACATTTGGATGGTTTCCTGTTCTGGGTCTTTATAAATAAAGCTTCTGCCAATACATACAGCTCTTTTTATGAGTT